AACTGGAAAACAAATACGTCCTTGTGGTTATGGACTACTTTAGCAAATGGCCGGAGGTATATCTGATTCCAAACCAGGAAAGTAAAATAGTAGCGGAGGTATTCCCTCCTGCATTGCACTCTGACCACGGAATAAAATTTGAATCAGCAGTATTAAAAGAGATGTACCAGATACTCGGTATCCAGAAAGCTCGAACCACGGCTCTTCATCCCCAATCCGATGGCATGGTGGAACGGTTCAACCCGACCCTGGAAGAGCATTTGAGGATGGTCTTGGACAAGTATCAGTTACATAGCTACTTGATACTTTTGGATAAATCTGGATATTTAAACCGCTATGAAAAATGTATATATTAAGAATTACTTAGAATAAATGTTTGAAATTTCTGTGACAGTGGTTTGTTTCCTAAAGAAAATTGAAAAAAGGCCTTGTTTGGCATATCAAATGAATCGATCGTGAGGGATCGATTGATTTTTGACGATTTTTCCTGCATCGATTTTTTATATTTCGATCTGGCATCTCTGGTTCAGACACGGAAACTTTTGTTGCTCATTTTCGGCAACTTATCTTTTGGTGTTGCCCGTCGCATTCAGACAGAGCAACTCTTTTGTACACAATTATTGTTGTCACCTGCGCCAACTTGAATTACTCCGACGAACGAGAGCACACAGCGTGTTGCCCGAACACGAGCAACTCGGTGCCCTTCCCCTTCCCTCGTCGCTCCCTCTCCTTCAAGTAATGAGTTGCCGCGACAAAAGTTTCCGTGTCTGAACTCAGTCTATAGGGTCGTTTGTTCAATGTATGGTTATCACCACTTCCCAGGTAAACATCATTATCGACGTTTTCAACATCATATATGTATAATCTCACCAACTATTTCATAGCTCACAGAAGTACAGGTTAGTTTTGGTTAGGTTAAAGTGGTTGCCCCAGGCAAGGAACACACTTGGACAATTAAGAGATTGTCCTTTGTGATACCACGAAAAAACTAAACGGAGACCTTTCCGCGGAGAAACGACTCGAGCCGATTACCAAATTTCGAAGGCGACTAATTTCGATCCCTTCTCATCATTTGAGGTCAAGTTATCCTTGGTTCCTGAGTGCATTGATAGGCTCAACAGCCTGGCGGAGTACAACGACATCCAATTAACTTGGCGTTTTCTTCCACTAAGCCATCGATACGTTATACTACTAGGGATGGTTGGAAAACACGATGGAGGTGCTGTTTAGTTGCAGCTTTGTCATATGCTCTCCATTAGCGGAGCATTAAAGACGGCAATCAAAACAACCTACTGCTAGGTGTAATGCCGTGAGGGGGTTCACTTTGCGCTGCTAATGCGATGCGTTAATCCACTGAGGGCTTGTGTGCCTCACCATCTGTCTTCCAATTATTCATTAAAATAAATGTCATTTAGACAGATTGCAGTTAGAAATTTTTATGCAACTAATGATTGCAATCAAAAACTAATTGCAATCAAAAACTTATTGCTATCAATTTCTTCTAAATGATTGCAAATTTAAATTTTTGCAATCAAAATATAAGCAATCAATGTTAATTGCAATTAAACCAGATTGCAATATTACGTAAAATATGCGATTGCAATCCAATTTGACTGCAATTTTTTACAGCCCTGACTTGGGTACCAGGTCACATAGGAGTTGCGGGCAACGAGGAAGCGGACCGACTAGCTAGAATGGCGGCCGCCTCGTCGCCTATAGGGTCTGAGCCCTTCCTAGCGATTGGACCTAGCACAATCAAGGAAGAGCTCAGGAAAGAAAAGAATAGGCTAAGGAATCAACACTGACGTGACAGTACAGGTCTACGTCAAGCAAATCACCTACTGGGAGGTGACAACTTTACGAGGTACAGGGCAATTATCATTCTCTCCAAAGGAAAGTTAAGGATAATAACAGGTTTTCTGACGGGTCACTGTAGACTGAGAGGTCACCTGCACAAGCTAGGGATCTGGTCAAACGACCTATATATGTCGTTTCTGCGATGTGACTGAGGAGACTCCTGTGCATCTGTTTCGCAAATGCGAGGCGGTCGCGAGAAGACGGGAGAGGTACCTGGGCCACTACTGGCCAAGTGACGAATCAATACAATCGCTAATCCCTGGGAATCTCCTCAAATTTTTTGGCTCTGTAGGAATAGATGAGGTACTCTAAATAGTTGAGGGTACGATAGATATCTTGGTCGCAGTGCATACCTCTATTTATTATCTATCTATTTATTTCGATCCCTGAAGGCTCAGTGTTAGTTAAGAAGTACGAGCCAAAATGCATCCATCTTAGCCTCGCAAATGTTGGACAGCCTAAAAGAAAGTGTAGAGATGGTTCTATCTCATCTTCCTCTTGACAGCTAATACAAACGGGATCAGTTGAAATTCCTAGTCTTACCGCGTGAATACCAATCGCACAACGGCCTGTCAGACACTAGTCCATCTGAGGTAACGTGTTTTTCGACCCCTTTAAGAGGTAACGATGGGAAACTCGTTTCTTACGCTGTAAAAGGTATTTTGAAGTGCCCTGTAAAAATATTTTCTGCAGCAGAGAAACGTCTTATTTTCCTTTTTTATGTCAAAATAGGAGCAGCGCTTTCTTTTGCCCATTTTATTAGGTATTTAGTAGAGTATGCAAGTTCATTATCGCGAGTACGAAATATGTGTGTTAGTCTAGCGCTCGCCGAGATAACACTAGGCCGAACCATCCAAGATTATACCGCAGGAGGACAGAGGCATCCCTAGTTGTTCCTTATAGAGAGGTCAGACTGGTAGAGAGGTCAGACATTCCTTTTCCGATTTCGAGCGCACTATCACCTATCACCTATTTTCACCTAAAAGACACTGCAAAAGTCAGGGAGCCTGAACATAGGTAGTGTTACCATCCGGTTTCCCTGAGCCTAATAGCAGTTCGTTCAACATGACGTTAAGCGCCAGTGCAGAAGTGGTTCCTAATGCTCCACAAATTCCGATTAAGGCGATCCGCTGTAAACACTCCATTTGTTTTACAAGTGTAGCCTTCTCTAGTGAGTTCCACCAGACAAGGGCTCCGTGAAACAAGATAGACTTAAATCTGGTTTCATAGAGCTAATGGACCACTTTGGGCGAGAGACCTCATCTTTTACCGATAGCTCCCCTACAGCAGCACAAGGCAACCGACGACTTTCTTACCCATCCTTCAATGTTAGGTTTCCACGACAGCTTCCTATCCAGGATCAAGCCTTAGTACTTGACCCTGTCTGAGAGCCGCAGACGACAAGATATTTTCGGATAATAGCGACAAAAACAAACCTTTATTTTTCAATGTGGCAGCACATAGTGAAGCGAAAAGTGAAGAAAGCGACAAAGAGCATGGCGACGTTGCTTTCTGAGCTGACAGTTGCTTCACTTTGTTTTGATGCCTCCTGTCTCTTTCTTCGCTTTTATCCGAAAACGTCTTATCGCTCTCTTTGTCGCGTCACTAAGTAGGTGAACGAAGGAACGAAAGAACGAACAGATAATTTATGTACCAGTAAACATTTTAATAAACGTGACTCTAAATCACCAAGCTAACCTTCTTTTCCTACAAATTGGGGGCTTGTTCGGGAAAGGCGTGCGTTATTAAAAAACCAGAAAATAGAAGACGAGTATGTGTGCCTGCGGGAAGACGCAGTAGACAAATCAGCGTACGCGCAAATAATCGCATGCGAAATAGAAACACGTGCAAAGGCAATTCGATTTGCGCAAAGGCAGACAATTTGCAAGATAAGGCGCAGAAAATAGTGAAATAGTGCAAACCGTGGTGTACGTGCTGTACGAAAATCCCAGTAACCCTAAAAGTTGGGGGTGCTCCAATGGACACAGTACCATTTTACCGGTGACTTACAGTTATTTTAAAACCGGCGTCCAAGTTTCAAAGTTGGAAACAGGAAACTACGAGTTTTTTTTTAAGAACGGTATAGTTTATTGTGATCCCATAAAAGAATTTCTGGTAATACCATCCGGTATGGAGACCGAGGTAATAAAACTAGCGCACGATCAGAACCATTTCGCTTGTAAAAAGACACAGGAGCTTGTAGAGAAAAAAACAAACTTGGTCGAAAAGGTTGCAAAAGTTGTAAAGGGATGCGTGGAATGCATAATTATAGACGCGAAAAGAGGCAAAAAGGAAGGGCTTTTGTCTCCGATCGATAAGGCTTGTGAGCCGGTAGGGACCTAACAGATAGATCATGTCGGACCATTAACCGAAACACGCAAGAAATATAATCACATCCTAGTGACAGTGGACGGGTTTGAGAAAATCAACAACCCTAACAAAGTCGACTGGGGTGGAGGAGGAGATTGATAGGCTAGAAAGCCAGGCTTCGATATTTGGCAACCCTAAACGCTGTGGTAAGCAGTGCGCGCTTCCACTCCGCAACGCCTGGGTTCAAGCCCTGGTCAAAGCAACATCCATGAAAAACAGCTTCTCGTAAAACTACAATCGCCGTTCGGTTATAAGTATGGAGTCGATAACGGCCCTAAGGGCCGGTTGTTCAATGTCTGGTTATCACTACTTGCCGGTTAAACATCATTATCGACGTTTTCGACATAATGCATATAACATGTGATCGATAAAGCAGTCGTTGTATTTAACCGGAGCTTCTACCTCCGATTTGTTCTAATCAGGCATTGAACAACCGGCCCTTAATAGTAGAGGAGCTAGATACTGAACGAGACTAAGGGCCGGTTTCTCCATCTCTGGTTAACACTAATCTCCGGTTAAACATAGTTATCGACGTTACCGACGCCTTTTGTATGCATGGAGTCGAAGACGTCGATAAAGATGTTTAACCGCAGATCAGTGTTAACCAGACATTGAGTAACCGGCTTTAGTAAGTCGCCAAATTAAGTAGGTTTGTTCCACATGTTTTCCGAGCTGTTTCGGGTGAAACCTTGCAGAATTTTTTTAATTTTTAAAGTTTGATCCAAATCTGAGATCTCCACATTTTTTCCAGATTCTACCACACAAATTGTTTTGGTCCGATCACTGCAAAACACCCCAGTAGCACTTTATTATCGACAGTGCCATCAAAGCAGCCAACTTCACCGCAAATGACAAACTGCTGAATTAGCATGTCATTCCCAGCTATAACAGGATTCTGATTGCGATTTTTCCGCTTTTTGTACTACGAATAAATTTAATTTACGGTCATGGAGACGATTCTGGGCATACGAGGAGATGATTTTGCAATTGTTGCTGCTGATACAACTCAGGCCCGGTCTATCGTTGTAATGAAGGAAGGTAAAAAATTCGTACCGCTTCCGCTCTTAAAATTAAAATATAAATAAATGCATTTTTTCCAGATGAAAATAAAATCCACAAAATTTCTAACAGTGTTGTTTTCGCAACAATGGGCGAATCTGGTGATACCGTTCAGTTTACCGAGTTCATTTCAAAAAATATTGCCCTTTACAAAATGCGTAACAACTATGAGTTGTCCCCCAAGGAGGCTGCACACTTCACTCGGAAGAATCTTGCCGACTACCTCCGTAGCAGAACTCCTTACCAAGTGAATATGATGATAGCGGGGTAAGTGATACGGAAATGTTCGATCATTGGTACAACCGTTCCCACGACAATCAGGTCTACGTAAACGGAACGACCCAGATTTATATTTGACCAAGGACTTGTCACTACAGCAACACTATCCAAAAAATCTCGCCTCTGACCCATCTACAGTCATTTGGAAACCCATTTGAGAATAGGGAAGTAAACTTCGGTATAATGCACTACATATTTATTTTTCTCTAAATATACTAGCAACTTTAAAGGGTCGTGAGGCGGCTTTCTTTAACTATACATATCTTTTCAACAAATCACTAGTAGTTTTTAAGTCGTAATCCGATTTTTTGTGAATTCTACGAAAATGCTTCGAATTGAATTCGAATAGCTACGAATGTACTTTGAATACACACGATGGAATGTGATAGCCACCATAACTTTTGAAATGGAAGGCTCGGCGCCCTGGCGTCTTCACTTTTAGAATGTGGATACAGCCCTCAACACTCTTCATATCCCGTTATTTCTGATTAAGAGTGCATTATATCGAAATTTTCCCAAATGGGGTAAAATTTGAATTTTAATGTAAACACGGGTTACGCCATTCGGCTACGCTGGCAGCAGTATATTTGCGCATAACACCTTTCTGCGTAGGCGCTCTTTCGCCGAGATTAAAAAAAAATAAATCAGTCCAACTCGGGCTACGCCGATCATAGTATTTTGGCACGAATTCCTTCCTGCTGTGTTGGCCTAGGCCGCGCTTCAATAAATAACCTCATGTGCAACTCGCGTGGTCGGAAATTTGAGATCTTTGTTTTAAATTAAAATTCCCTTCGACTACACGTGCATGTTAAAACATTTTGATTCGGGTTCCATTTTTGGACGCTATAACCCAAAATCATTGTACAAATAACTGAATCGTACCAAAGTAATTTATCACCGATATGAGATCTTCAAGATTGAACCATAAACATTATATTTACAGATACGATGAGCAATCACAGCAATCGGCATTGTACTTCCTTGACTACTTAGCTAATTCTATTGAGGTAAAGTACAGCGGTCAAGGATACGGTGCTATGTTCTGCCAAAGTATCTTTGACAGAGAATACAAAGCTGGACTAAACAAAGATGAAGCGTATAAAATTCTTGAGCACTGCGTTAAAGAAATCCAAAAACGTCTGGTCATAAATCAAAAGAATTTCAAAGTAGCCCTTGTGAACAAAGATGGAGTCTCATCAATGCCCGACATTAAAGCGGAAATTGCATGCAATTAGCATTACATTAATCAAGTTAATTTTGTCTTAATATGAAATTTCAATAAAAAATCTGGTACTGTGAATGTTTTCTTTTTATAAAAGAATATAATATTGATTAAATAAGTGTATATAAGCCATAGGCTAAAAAGTGACTGCTGGGGGCCAATCTAAATCTATTTCCATTACGTCAAGTGCCACAATGTCAACAGGCTGGCCAATCAATGATGACACAGATGGAGTTGTGCGTCCGAACTCCCCATGAACCAGCTCTTTTATATACGTTCCTGCTTGTGTAACGACGTCAAGTATTAGTAAGCGTTTATTTTGTGCATAAACTGATGCTTTAAGACTGTATACAGCTCGGGGACGTGTATGTAGAGGTCGACGATGTAAAACCCTTATAGGCGTCTTTTGTTGAATTTCGAATCCCTTCGGCAAATTTAGCTTTTCTAAAATATCTGCGGTAGCAAAACCATCCAGCTGACAGAGTGCACGATAACATTTTCGTTTTTGTTCCTCCCCCATTTTAATGTGCGATAAATCATCCCGCGAAACCACCTGAAGATTGCGTACCGACACTTTCTGTGACGCATCGATGTATTCTTCCATTTGACGTGCTTGTTCGGGGGGCAAGGATGTTCGGAAAGCGTTTGATATCTCCAGTACAAATGGTCGACCTGTGCCAAGGCATCTTACATCTACATCCTCTCTCCCACTTGACATAAAATTAATTTTTGTCCGATCCTCGCTTTAATGAAAACGTTAACAAGATATTCGTACCAACATAAATTTATATATCGCCGTTTAAAGTACAAAACCGCGTATCAAAAAAATGCAAAACCGCGTATCAAGATAATGCAAAACGGCGTATGTGAGGTTGCATAAATTATTTTCTAGAGAGTAAAAATACTCATACTTCAAAATGGTTCACTTTTTTTTATAAAGCAATCGCATTTCTTCGCATTTCTGGCTAGTATATTTCAGGACGAATGGATAAGGATTGTGCCAAGAGCTTGTGGGAGCAAATCCAATTTTTGGCAGCCAATGCCATTTACGCGGTTTTGCAGAATGACGATACGTGGTTTTGTACTTTAAACGACGATATCATTACTATTTTTGAAATCATTGCACTTACCAAAAGTACGTAGCAATATAACGTATAATTATCTCCTCTATACTGTCGTCCATGACTCTTTTACCATTTAATACCCATGGTGTATGTGACAGCTTCCGGGACACTTTTCTATATCGCCCAGCTACATATGCTGTAGGACCAACAAGAGAAATGGAATCCAATTTCAGACTTTCATTTGGTATTGAGGGTGGTACAGAAAATGTTTTTTTGAACAGTTCTGAACTAACTCTCAAAGGTGTATATTTTTTCTCAATCAAAGATCGTGAGATAGGTTCCAACTTATGGCCCGTTTTTGGCGGATACGCCACGTTGTTGAGTTTCTCCAATCGAGCGATTTCTTCATTTTCCAGTTCATGGCATAAATTTATATTTATCATGAGACCATTATCAATATCGTATTTTTTTTTAAGATTTTCACAAATCGTTGGATGCAAAATAAGCTTAATAGCTTCCTTCAAGGAAACATCAGGTGCCCGATCCTGGTGAAAATTTTTTTCAAATTTATCTAAAAGCGCATACCACATGGACAATTGCCGTAACTGGAGCACTATCGGTATACTAATGGCAACCACAATGCCATCGCACTCGTATTTTGCAATATCTGTATCCAATATAGCCTGAACGAGTTGGTCCTTGAATCTTTTTGAAAATAGATCCAGACAAGTTGGGCAAACATTCTGCCGTTTCTTTTTATGTGCCGGGTCAGAACTGCTTTCTGTTTCATCTTTATATTCAACATTAACCTGTAAGATTAAAGTTGGAATAAAATTAGGAATTTACTATTAACCATAATAAATTGACACCTTCTCCAAATACTGCCTTCGATTCTGATATTCATTACCGCGAGCTTTGAGATAACGTAATTGACAGAATAAGCACACGCCACACTCCCTGAGATAGTTAACTAAATCCTGGTTCTTCATTTTTAATTTAAATAAATTAAAATATCATTAGGTAAATGGTAAACCGCCCAATTTCTTTTTCAGTCTGAATTGAGCAAGCATGGTGACGCAAACTGCATTGCCGACAACCCAATTGTCACAACCAGTGTTGCCAGGGTATTCCAGTGAGAAATCGTCAGTTTGGTTATCAAAAATCGTCATTTGCATGTAAAAATCTTCAACAAATAAAAAATTTTAATAAACATAACCGGGAAGCCCTTTTTGTTTTTAAATTTTATTCTAGCTTCTGATTGCTGTAAGTAAAAAAATAAAAACTTTAACTTTTTTAACAAAAATATTTTTAATCTTATTTTTTTCAAACTGCAACTTAACTATGTGCTGTACATACTGTTCATACTTACAAGGTTTGCTAAACAACTTAAGGCTCCGTTATGCATACTTGGCATGGCTTGAGAGCTGTCACATAAGAAATCTGTTAAATGAGCCTCGCGTGTAATCGGTTATCGAACGCACAGCACTACATACGTAGAAGTCTGTTGGTTTTTGATTTCTACGTAAAAATGGTATAGCAGTGCATGCAATGCCAAGTATGCATAACAGAGCCTTTAGGGCCGGCTACTTAGGGCCGGTTGTTCAATGTCTGGTTATCACTACCACTACACTATCGACGATTTCGACATCAGGCATGTAACATGTGATCGATAAAGCAGTAGTTGTGATTAACCGGAGCTTCTACCTCCGATTTGTGCTAATCAGACATTGAACAAACGGCCCTCAATGTCTGGTTAACACTAACTACAGGTTAAACATCGTTATCGACGTTACCGACTCCCTGTTGAATACATGGAGTGGGAGACGTCGATAACGATGTTTAACCGCAGATTAGTGTTAACCAGACTTTGAGTAACCGGCCCTTATTCATAATTCTCTTGGCTCAATAAAATATGTAGCAGTATACAACGCTACACAAAGCTACACAAATTAATCAAATTAAGGTCCGGTTGCTCAAAACCTGGTTGACACTAATCATCGGTTAACATCATTATTGACGTTTCGACTCCATGCATATAACCAGTTGTCGGTAGCGTCGATAACGATGTAACCCGGCCTTAAGGCTCTGTTATGCATACTTGGCATTGCATGCACTGCTATACCATTTTTTACGTAGAAATCAAAAACCAACAGACTTCTACGTATGTAGTGCTGTGCGTTCGATAACCGATTACACGCGAGGCTCATTTAACAGATTTCTTATGTGACAGCTCTCAAGCCATGCCAAGTATGCATAACGAAGCCTTTAGTGTCAGCCAGGCTTTGAGCAACCGGCCCTAAAAGGCCCTATACACCGATCGATTTATCTGCCAACCAGTTGGCCAACCGCTAGAAGTTTTTTGGTAAATAAGCCGTGTGTAGGCAATTTGGCAAACCTTCGTCAAGTTGTGCGTCAGGTTGGAGAAAATGAAATGCTTTTGATTTTTGAGGGAGGTTGGTAAACTTGTTGCTCTGTGTGTAGATAAGTTGGCAACCTAAAATGCGATTTCATTTTTTTAAAGGCGCATTAACGTTAACATGTGATTTTCGGTTCGTCTCACTAGAGAAAAGCGTATAATTAATGAAAACGGGGCTGGTAGCAATAACAAATACATAAAAATGGGAAGCATTCCTAGCATAGCTTAAAAGTTTACCAGTGCTGTTGTGTTGTTCACAGTTCAAAAACTGTCACTCAAATGAAATCGGCCAACTGGTTGATGCGTTTGACGTTACCGTCAATGCTATATGCATGGAGTCGAAGACGTCGATAACGATGTTTAACCGCAGATTAGTGTTAACCAGACATTGAGTAACCGGCCCTTAGTATTTTCCCAAACACTTTTTTGTGGATGAAAAATAAATTTTAACTTAAATATCGATATTGTGGGTAAAGTATCGATGCCTTCGATATATCGACCTTGGAATATCGATTCAAAAAATCGATTATCGTCCCATGAAATATCGATATTCAGAATAATCGATACAATATCGAACTTTCCTAATTAGTGCTGTTGAGAACCTGCCAAATTTGCGCATAAAGAAAAATCGTCATTAGTTCACAAAAATCGCCAAATCGTCATGGTAGTAAAAAATCTTCAAAATGACGACGTATACTGTGATGACGACCAAATTTCTACCTGGCAACACTGGTCACAACGCAGCTGATTGCTTTGACGTTTTCAGAACAACAAAAAATAAGTTTACTTCTTCAGGTAAAACTGCTCAAAGAATCAGATTTACATCTTTTTAATAAATCGGTAACTATTATAAAGTATAGAAATCATAGGATTTTGTTTCTTGGAGCTATCCTCGAGTTGAAAGTATGGATATGTTTAATAATTCAGGCTAAAGTCTTTAAACAATTGTTACGTCACAGCTCGGGGAACCAAAACACGGACAGTCCAATGGGCAACATTCGCCAAGATTTCAATATCTTCCATTTTTTCCTTATTAACCATCCATCTATTACATGTTTTTAGTTGTCATGTCGCTGGGCCCATTTTTACGAACACCATTTACCGATTTAACCGGCTGTTTGATTAATCATCAGACATACGAAAAATGCGGCAAGATGGAAATGGAAATGATGGATTGCCTTGAAGCTTATGGTGTTGAACGGGGCCAGAAGATGTGTGCCGATATTATTGCAGATTTCAGTGAATGCGTCGGAGTACGCAAGCAACTGCTGAGGTTCCACGTAAGTTGTAGATGTCTAGACAATAGTGTCTCAAGTGCTGAATATGTTGTTTGTAACCCTTGCAGGCAATGCGTGCAGAACGTCTCAAACAATACTACTTTGGTGATCGCAAAAAGCAAGAACTGTTTGCAGATCCTCCGAGAGTAGATGCTTTCTAATGACATATAATTTGACATTTTTCCTGCTACATAAACCCATTTTGAATTAAATAGTAAGCCAGCATTAATTATGTATGTCTTAAAACTTTGCCAATAAAATGTGTAAATCTAATACTGAAGGCTTCCAATGCATTTTGTTAAAAAATTTTTCTGTTTTAAATCCGATATAACTAGTGAGTAATAGTTATCGAGATTTTAGAATGTTTTTATTGCATAGGAAAGTCATTTGGCTTCTAAAACTTTTACTCTGATTTTGCAAAGAATGGTTCAATGTGAAATTATTTTGTTTAAATAAGAAGCCATCTTCCCGAACATAAGACGGAAGGTGTACTGTTTTATCGACATTACGAATAGCATTTCCGAACATTTTCGTTCCAAATGTCAGGTACGACATTTTTATTGACAAGCCTACTTTTATATGTATAAATGCATATGTATATACACACTTGACATCTGTTCTTATCAGAAATAACATTCTCATACGAGGGAAAAGTATTTACGGATTTGTGAATTGGCGGAAGGAAGTTGAATAGAGTAATCGCAAAATAGGATATTTACATAAAGTGTATAAGAAGGTGCAAAGAGTAAACAAGTTGAAAAATATAAACTTATGAGTGCATTTTGGTGATATGTGTTAAAAGGTGAGTTGTTGTGTCGTTTAGGCTGTACATCGTTATTGGCTTTTATTACCTGGGCTGTATATGTACGATTACATTTATTTACACGAATTTCAACTTCTCTGAAGAACCACCCCAAACAATTCAAAAGGAGCATCTCCCTCCGACCTTCAGGCAACCTTCAGCAGCGCCTCACGTGTGCCACACATTTGATTGGTTTAATGCTCTTATAGGCGCTATGCATTTAGCAATTACAGTGCTTACTTTATGTGTATTACTGTTTTGTTGTCGCTGCTAAGTAACACAAATACACAAAATAAACAAATTTAGGGTTATAAATTTTAAAAAGTCGCCATAATAGCCTTTAGTGCTAACAGCGATGTGAACAAACAGTTATCAGCAAGAACCGGCGGAAAATCATTTAATTTCAAAGTGAAAAATAAAAATACTACGTAGATACACGTACATATTTCATCTACAACCCTACAAGACAGCTGAGTATCATATGAGTACTCATATTATCATTACTCCTAATCACAAAAGTGCTTATCAAAGTCCTCATTTTCGTTCAGGCCATGGGAAAAATTTGAGTACTTTCCCCTCAATGTTGTCATCAGAAAGTCCTCAGTACTAATAGTCAAACTACTCATTTATGCCGTACTACAAAAACAAAAGTGTAAATGTGTGAGAATTTTTGCCTAAAGTGCTCAGCAATGTCTTGTAGGGAAACATTAATAACTTTGTGCTCACTAACATACGTACATATATGTATATGTACGAGGGACATACCGCAAAATTATGCATATGTATGTACTAAGTACATATACATTGTTCCATTGACGAGGCTACTTTTATGTTTTAAATAAAATAGTTTTTGCACTTCAAAAGATAAGTGATAATCAAAATATTTAGATGTGATAACTTCATATAAAGACACTCAAATCATGTATATTAGGGATGTTGCGGATGCGAAATTTTAGACATCCGCGGATGCGAATGCGGATGCGAATATCTAACAGCTAACATCCGCGGATGCGAATGCGAATGCGGATGTGAAGTATTTAAAAAAAAAACGATTAGAATCTAGCATAATGGCGAGATCGTTGTTTAAACAGCGCTTACAAGCCAAACCAGATACATATGTCATTTTGTTTCAGAATTTGGAGAATCTGTAACTTTATCAGCACTTTTCGATTTTAGTTTTTGTAATTAATTTTTAATACTTTCTTCTGCGACTGCTTTGAAAAATTTGTGCTTCTAGCGAGCTAAATAGGTGGATATGGAAAATAGATTATTTTTTTTGAACAAAATTCTGTTTTCAAAGTAGTGGCTGCCAGCCGAATCGGATCAGAATATTGTTATTTTTTTTTAAACACCCCGTTTTTTATAAGCATTTGAATAACAGATAGTTACGTAATTCTTATCTAACTATAGCTTTTTAATTATATGAGCATCGATTCTCTTTATAGCTAGACGTTGTTCATTTCTACTGGAAATCCCTATTGAAGGAGCTTACTCAATACTCAATACAATACTCAATAGTTACTTTAAATAGCAAAGAAAAGACAGTTATACCACAGAAGCTTTTAGCCAAGGATCCAATGTATATCCCTATGAAAAAAATATTATCCAACAAGTAAACAAAACTATTGTTTTTAAAATTTTTGCTAAAAATAAATTCCCCAAAGAGCCCCATTTGAAATTATTGAAACGAATAAATGTAATAGGTGGCATACGCGGTACGTCTTACTTGCGAGCCATTTGTGTACTCGCCTTCGACTACACACAGTTGAATCATTCAGAGTCATGCCGGGAGTCATCCCAACGGGGCCAGAAGCGCGCCATTAGTTCTATTGGAGCGCTCCATATTCAGCAGTAAGCGCTCCCTTCCTAATTTCACACTTCATTGTATTTTCACATTGTGAAAGGAGCGCTCTCTTGCTGCTCCCAAATAAGCCCTTAGTGAGCGCTTCAACTAAAGCATTTAAAAAGCGATGCATGCAAATTTTAATTTTTATATTATATTTTTGTTTTAATAAAATAATGGCGTTTTTTTGTAAGCCAGATGTTGGCTTTATTAAGTGTACTTATGCATTTGTACTACTCCGTACTTGCTCCTTTGGGGAGCAGCTAACTTTCAGTCCCGTTGGGATGTTGGTGTAACTAACACATATTTATTTTCACAAACACATCCAAACCGACTCACTCACCCAGCCAGCAAAACCATCGTAAACAAGCTCGTAATTGGATATTTTC